TCATGGGCGGAATGTGGCACGCTTCTCGCTGCTCCGTCGCTACTTCCAGCGAAAATGGTCAGGGAAACGACATTCTCTGGTTCCACCAGTTCAGACCTTCACAGGAAGAACACGCTATACTACCCCGATTTCGTCCGTATTTCATCGATGATACGTAAGTTCCATTCCGACAGGTTCCTCCAGCGAACCACCGCTCTGTGGAACCGACTTCCAAGGAAATGTTTCCCCGATCGCTACAATCTTAACCTTATCAAGTCAACAGTTAATCCTCCCACCCGCATAGATTGCCTCTTAACGTAATCCTCTAACTCGAGTGACCCCGGTGCTTGTATAGGGTGTATTTTCTGTATAAAAAAAATAGTAGTAGAATGATATATTGTTGGCTCTTGTGATGTTTTTATACCCTTTCAAATACCTGGAACCCTCTTCACTGCTCATCGAGTAAAGATATTTGAATTGTCTCACTACCTCAAGTTTTCGAGCACTGACTTGTTTGAAAGCCGCTTCTCATTGTTTGTAATGAGTTTGTCTTTTTTTAATACTTTTCGTCTACAATGAGTTATCTTATAGAAATAAAAAAAAAACATAATCTCAAGGAGACAAATATTCAAGGATACTGATCACTACAATCTTAACCTGTTTAAGTCTAGTGCTAACCGCTATCTTCCACTGCTATCTGGACAAATTGCCTCTTAAAGTAACCCTCTACCTCGAGTGGCTACCGGCGCTTGTATAAAGTGAATCTTACTGTAAAAAAAAAAACTTATTAGAATGGTAGATTTTTAGCTCTGGTGATGTTTTCATACCATTTCAAATTCCTCTTCTTGATAGTGGTGATGAAGTCTTACAATGATCCCGTTTCTTGTCTCTTGATATTTCGCATGACGTCATTCGGGATGCAGTGTTCGTAGTTGATGCCGAGGATGGTCCTGTAACATCACATTTCTAATGCTTGGACTCTTCGCTGTCATTCTCCTGTTAATGTCCCAGATTTGCAGACATAAAAAGACCGAGAAGGACAATGTACACGGCACTCTGCTCTTTGATTCCCGCTAAATGTTCTTGTCTTTACAGATGGTTCATAGTTCTGTGACAGCTGCCGTTGTTTGCACTGCTCTTGAAATTATTTCTATCCTGGAACCCTCTTCGTTTATAATCGAGTAAAGATATTTGAATTGTCGGACTACTTCAAGTTCTCGACCACCGACTTGTTTAAAAGTCGCTTCTCATTTTTCGTAATGAGATTGTTTTTTCTGTGTTTTAGTCTAACAGAAATAAAATAACCATAATCTCAAAGAGACAAATATTTAAGTGGACCTTGCCGTGGATTCTGTTTGGGTGGTCGGTAAACTTTTTTTTTTCTTTTTTTTTTTACTATAACAGTCAAGACAAACTCTCTCCAGAATTTATCATACATATCTATAAGTCTACCAATTGTCCATTCTAAGACTATTCCAGCCGCATATGGTCTGATGTCCCTGCTATTTACCTTGAGCTCCTAGATACAATTCAAAGAATCAGAAATATTATTGGTCCTGTACGGGCGGCTCGGTTTCAGCCACTTTCCCACCGCCATGAGGTTGCCTCCCTGTGTCTTTTCTAAAAATACTTACATGGTAATTGTTCGAGTGAGCTCTTCGCTATGGTACCTAGACATTTTTTTTCATTTAAGCGCAGTATTAGACAGGCGTCAATATCTCATCAATTGAGCGAGCAAGATGTAACCGTGCATTCTATGCTAACAGTCTCTTTTCTCGCACTTCTCTCTTGTGGAACTCCCTTCCAACGCCATGTTTTCTGCCAACTTTAATCTGTAAGACTTTAAATGCAATGCCAATCGCTATCTACTGTCTTCCTGATTGCTCTTTTTTCTTTCTGATCATTGTTAATGTTTCTACTACTAATTCTTCCACACCCTGTAAGCCCTTGTGTCTTACTTCGATTGAAATCGATGAAAAAAAAAACGAAACGATGTTAAAAGATTCTTGGTACAACCAAGAAAAAACTGTAAAATAAATTCTGATATTTTATCATTTGACCAAATTTTGGAAAGCGGACCAAACCAAGAATTTTCAGCACCGCAACTGTCTCTCCATGACGGTGATTATTAGAATTCCAACGGGTCTGATGAGGTCATGCAATTCCTCATTTTTGATACGGTCTACGTAGGCGATGCCTGGTATGGTTCTATAGCATCTAATTTCTAATGATTGGATTCTTCGCTATAACTCTGATGTTAATGCCCATGATTCGCAGACGTATAGAAAGACTAAGAAGGCCAATAGACGCAGCAGTCTGATCTTTGATTCGAGGCAGATGTTCTTGTCTTTCCAAATAATTCTTATTTTTGCGACAGCTGCCGTTGTTTGCTCTGCTCTTGAAATTTTTTTCTATTCTGGAACCCTCATCGCTGATAATCGAGCAAAGATATCTGAATTGACTCTGCATTCAGTCCTTGACCACCGACCGTCATCTTGGTTGTAAGCCCTTTCTCGTAGTTCATCACGAGTTTAGTTCTAGCGGCATTATCAGGTGGATGTGTTTCATGAGCTTCTTCACTAAACTAACACACTCACAATACATATAAACACACACACACACACACACACACACACCCCTAAATTATACTGTTTGTTTCTTCTTCCTTAAGGTGGTACCTTGCAGGATGGCAATAGAAAGGCTATGTAGCTCTTATGACGTGGCCCTACCATTTCAACTTTCTCTCCTTCACGTTAGTTATGAGGTCTTCCTACGGGCCTGTTTCCAGTCTGATGTTGTCGCGCACTCCCTCATTTTTGATACGGTCTACGTAGGCGATTCCAGGTATGTTTCTTTAGCATCTAATTTCTAATGATTGGATTCTTCGCTATATTTCTGCTGTTAATGCCTATGATCCGCAGATCATGGGCATTAACAGATGTTCTTGTCTTTCCAGATAATTCTTAGTTTTGCGACAGCTACCGTTTTTTGTGCTGCTCTTGAAATTATTTCTATTCTGGAACCCTCATCGCTGATAATCGAGCAAAGATATCTGAAAAAAAAATACTCAATGATATGAACTATGAACAAGGCCACAATGAGCTGAACGTGTTTGGATAATTAAATATTTCTATAACTCTAGATATATACATAAAACAATCCATACATTCAGTTAAAAGTAAAAATAAAATTATCCTTGATAATGACTACACGTCTAAAATAATATAAAAATGCCAATGTTATAGTCTCTGTGAAAGATTTTCCAGTCGACTTTGTCTCTTCTTTTTCTTAAGGTGTGGAATGTTTGCTGGCTCTTATGACGTGGCCCTACTATTTCAACTTTCTCTCTTTGACTGTAGTTTTGAGGTCTTCCAACGAGCCTCTTTCTCGTCTGATGGTATCACGTGCTTCCTCATTTTTGATACGGTCTACGTAGGTGATGCCTGGGATGGTTCTTTAGCATTTCATTTCTGATGATTGGATTCTTCGCTATATTTCTGCTTTTAATGTCCATGATTCGCTGGCGTATAGAAATACTGAGAAGGCAAATGGACGCAACTGTCTGATCTTTGATTCCAGGCAGATGTTCTTGTCTTTTTTTAATTCTACGACAGCTGCCATTGCTTGAACCCTCTTTGCTGATAATCAGATATTTGAATTATCTCAAAGTTCCTGACCACCGACTCTTATTATTTCTCCTCCTTTTGCCTTTTCTTTTTCTTAAGGTATGGAAAGATTGCTGGCTGTTTTGGGATGGCCTTGCCATTGCAGTAGTTACGAGTTCTTCCAAAGGGACACCGTTGCTTGAAACCTCTTTGCTGATAATCGAGCCAAGATATTTGGATTATCTCACTACTTTAAGTGCTTGAACACCGATTTTTATATTACTTGCCTACTCTTTGTCATTGTTCATCATGTGTTGGGCTTTTTCGGCATTAATCTTCATCCTACGTCTGGACGAAGTTTCATCCGTGTTCATCACCAGACTGACGAACTTATCTACTTCACCAGCTCGATCTGTATCGTCTGCAAAACGAAGGTTTGTGATATTGTCACTTCCGGTGCTGACGGTGGCTTGGTGATTCTGAAGGGCGTCGCTCATGTTTCATTTGAGGAACAAGTTAAAGAGCATTGTGGCCTGAAAACAAACTTAACGTACACTGATTGATGTGTGGAACCACTTTCCAATGGATCCTTGGAATAGTACAACGCTAATTGCCTTATCACTCAGATGGTAGATAGTATGGATCAAATTTCCTATATTTGCGTGCTCTTAACAAAAAATGGATAAGAACGAAAAGTTTACTCAATGAAAATAAAGGTTTGTTTCAAATAATATTAAGCCAAACCCCAGTGGAGCGGGGATCCCCCAGGCAGTAGATATCCTTGCGGGGGGGGGGAGCTGAGTTCATTGCCGGGTGAAGTACTGTGAGGGCTTACGGAAGTTTTTCTACGGTATTGCCGTTAAGCCTGCTTTAAAATTTGACCTTGTGTCACACCCGATAGCCACGTGTGCGCACTCTGGTTAATACCTTCAAGCTTAAAAATATATTTGACATTGTTGAATCTATTGCCTTTTATCGAATATTATTTTTTTAGTCAGTTTAGTATCCAGCACCAGGCGTCCATGTATATATTGCTGAAGAATAAATTATTGCGCATGCGTTTAATATTAAAGACATGGCTCATTAATCAACGTGGACAGTATTCAGTTATTTCGGAGACTGTCTTTTATAGGGATTCGTTTCGGAAATTTAATATTAGTAAATTTATTGCGAAAGATATTTGGAAAAAGAGCCCTATAGCAAATCAGAGCTAAACGTGGGTAGATCTACAGAATGGTATTACTGTAATTTATGCATACACTGAATCCTCATATTGGCGAATTTGACCCACAAATTCTCTTTTCTTGATAATCCTCAGATAATCCGTTCAACTGATGGTCAGAGGGTTTCAGCGGAAATTCCAAGACCTTGATATCAAGATTTTGAAACAGTTTTTATAGACAAGATTCTAGTCAACTAATTAAGACTCTCACCTCGCAGGGAAAGAAAGAAAGAAAGAAAGAAAGAAAGAAAGAAAGAAAGAAAGAAAGAAAGAAAGAAAATAAATAAAAAGCGATAAATAAAGAAAAGAGTAAAACTTAAAAAGCGGGAAGAAAGAAAGAAGGAAAGAAAGAAAGGAAAGAAGGAAGAAAGGAAAGAATAAAAAGTGAGAAAGCAAAAATGGCAAAAAAGATAAAAGAAAAAGAACAAAGAAAGAAAAGAGGAAAGAAAATAAAGAAAAACAGAGAAAGAAAGAAAAGAGGGATGAGGAATAAAAAGTGAGAAAAGAAAGATGACAAAAGTGAAATGATAAGAAAGAAAGAAAGAAAGAAAGAAAGAAAGAAAGAAAGAAAGAAAGAAAAGAGGCAAGAGGAATAAAAAGCGAGAAAGGTAAGATGGGGAAAGGGAAAAGAGAGGACAAAGAAAGTGTAGATTATGAAAGAAAGAAAGAAAGAAAGAAAGAAAGAAAGAAAGAAAGAAAGAAAGAAAGAAAGAAAAGAGGAATAAAAAGCGAGAAAGGTAAGATGGGGAAAGGGAAAAGAGAGGACAAAGAAAGTGTAGATTATGAAAGAAAGAAAGAAAGAAAGAAAGAAAGAAAGAAAGAAAGAAAGAAAGAAAATCGTTTATATTTAATAAAATGGAGGGGAGAAACGATGTAAAATCAAAAAGATTTGTTGCCAGAGGCTTGAGAAATGAGACAATTCCGCCATTTTAAGCTAGAATAGAACAAAAAAAAGAAGGAATAAGATGTCCCAAGTGCCACAGTGTCTAAGTTCCACTTCGTCTGTCTGGCTGCTTGGCATCCGACAATTTCTTGGCAAACTATACTGCTGCCGATTCAGAAGCCAAGAATAGAGCATGGCACCCCCACCCTCGCCAACAAAATAGAGAAGAAAAGTAAAAAGTAAAACGACAAGAAGAAACAGAACGATTTCTTCTTTAAAATTGGCAACAGATGAAAAAAAAATGGAGACGAGGAAGAGTTTTCTCCCTGCCCCTCTCAGTCTGGAGGCCGATTACCTTGCTCAAGGGAAAAATACCCTTTTTTTTATCTTTTTGCTTGCCAACAGCAATTCTTATTAGGTCTGATGCACCTATTTTTAGAATTGCAGATTATTAAAGGACTTGTTTATGGATAAAAGGAATCGCTCTTTGTGATGTTCAAACAATTATGTTAATACAGTGTCCTTTTCGGAAACGTGATTAATAAAGAGTTACGATTTCTTAAAGGAAGCCTAAATAATCCCCATCTGCTTTAATGTTGAACTGTATTTATCACATTATGGTTTTACAACAGTAGTATATAGTCACTTTCACTGGGGACCAAGTGACAGAAAGTCTCCTTAATATTTTGCACTTGATCACAGAGAGAAATGTAATATGTTCAGATTCCAATTGTTCCAAGAAGCAGGATTTTTCAATTATTTGCACTATTTCCATTCCACATTTTAAAAACTGCTGCGATATATGGCCTGGTGCTTCTTTTAAATATTTAGAGGTTCTCGATAAAATCTAACGAAGAATCTGCAATGTTATCGGTTCTGACCTGGCATCTCGCCCGCAGTCATTTAACAACCGCCGTAATTTATCTTCCCTTTGCCATTTCTATAAATACTTTCATGATAATCTTTCTAGTGAGTTTTCCTCTTTAGTACATAGACTTTATGAATTTAAGAGCAATACTATTTTGACAGTCTGATTTAATCTTTTTTACAGTTGAAATGGTTAGATGTAACCATAAGTTCAATAATAATAGTTTCTTCTATCGCACTTCTCTCTTGTGGAACTGTCTTCCGGCATTTTGCTTCTGAGTCAACTTTGCTCTTCAAAGATTTAAAGGCAATGTCAATCGCTATCTACTGCCTTCTTAATTCTTGTCCTTTTAATGTTCTTTCTCTTTAATAATTTTTTCTCTCATATTCTCGAACATTCAGTAACCCCCTGCATTTTAGTGGCTTTATTGCCTTTCTTTTGGTGAAATGATTTGTTTACAAAAGCAACTGCGTTGTCCACCAATGTTTACAAATGTCTGAATATATATCCTCAGATGTCTTTGTACTTTTGCAATTTTTTTCTAACGTCGATGTTGAACAATAGTAGCAAATGTCGCTTACAAGATTAGTGTTAATGTCATTTTAAAATCTTCTTTTTAATAAATATTTTTCTGTTTTATTTGTTTTTAATTCAGTTTTTAAATTGAAATATATAAGCAATTTATATATATATATATATATATATATATATATATATATAATGAAACCAGACAAACCTACCCAGGTTTCACCTAAGCTTAGGTGAAACCTAGGTAGGTTTGTCTGTCTCACTAGGTTTATCTAGGTCTGCTCTACGGTTGTATTGAGCTCTTTTGTTAGTTAGTTGTTTACTCGTATCGGGTTTTTTCTTTGGGCTTCAAACCTGTATCTGTGCGATTTTTTTGACAGACTTTCATGTTTCTAGCCCTTTCTTTTTTAAAACCTTTTTTTCCTCGAGATTGATTTGATTATTGGCAAATCAAAAATTCGAGGGTTTTTCAAACGAGTATAGTTACCTATATATATATATATATATATATATATATATATATATATATATATATATATATATATATATATACTAGCAGCATGGGCCGGCGTTGCCTGTGCCAGATTAAAAAATCGTACGACTCATACAGCAATCGCTATCACTTGACTTAAAATATTTTTGCCCTTCCTTGCCTTTAAAGGAGTGCCCTTTGCCGTGCTGATGTTGCTACATGGCTTACTTCTTGCCTATCTCACACTGCGAATATTTTCAAAGCTCTATACTAAACATTAAATCTGTTACGAAAAAAGAACTAAACAAAATGAACACAAAACGATCAGCTTTTAAAAAAAAAAGGACTCGTAACTGGAAAAACCGAATGAAAAAAGAATGTTAACAACAAAAAATTTTTTTTTAGCATGCTAGTTAACATTCGTGTCAGTCAGCTGTTGGCTTTCACGCTAGCCAATAGAATCTTCCTGCCTATTCGTGGCAGCCAGCTATAGGCTCTAACTATGGCCAGTAGAAAATGGCCGCAAACTACATGAAAACTGATGTAGAAGCATGAAAAGATCGATTATTTCCACTATCGATGGGAGTTGGGAAATGCAAAGTCAGTCTTGGCCTTCCCACTAACTTGGAACATGTGCATGTAAATTTTGGTGCAAATCGGTCGAAAATTGCGGCCGTGCATTCGTTACACACACACACACACACATACACCCCCCCCACACACACACACATCCTTCCATTTATAGATAGAGATTCTTTTGTTTCTTTTTCCTTACTATTTTTCTTTGTCTTTTTTCTTCTCTTCTTTTTTTCTTTCATATCTTTCATTTTTATTTCCTTCTGTAATTTTGAGTTTCTTTAATTCGTTTTCTACGGCTTGTCAGCCCTTTGCAGGTTATGTTTTTGTTTTGGAGATAATAATGGTTTAGAGACAGAAGTCTTACTAATTAACCCATACCTGGGGGAGAACAGTTAGATTCATACCTTTCCCGAGAGTATTTACGCGTAAGTAAATGCAATGAACCCAGACTTGAAATCTAAAACACATCCTGCCTTTTATATATATATATATATATATATATATATATATATATATATATATATGAATAAATATAATATTAAGGTGTGCTATATTTATGGGATAAAGTGCTCAATATCAGAGACAGAGCATATGTAAATATAAATATAAAAGTGAGCATTGAATTCAACACTCAGAGGCGACAGGCTGTTTCTGGGCGCAAACGTCAGCATGAAACAGCCTGTCTTCTCTGAGTGTTGATTCTATATATATTTTAAATTAATCGTGTTTGTATAGAAAGTTTTTATATCTTACGTCTCAAAATTCAGTCTTGACCACTTTGAGCCCTGAGAAAAATGACGTGTTGCCCAGCCACCGGTTGAACAGTGGTTGAGAAAAGTGACTTAATGCCCAGCTACCGGTTGAATTGTGGGTAAACACTTGTAACTATTTTGATATCTACTGTGAAACATTACATTCCAATTATTTGCGAATTTTGACTCAGGAGTTCAGGCAGAAGAATTGTTCAGGAACGCAGGGGTCAAAGGGTTAAATTAGAAAACCTACAGCGTTCATAATAAGACTTGTCGTCTGCTGTTTCGCATTGCCAGAAAAATTATGGAATTATTTAAACGAGTCAAAATGATATGCTAAACTAGATTTTCTTAAAACTGTAGAGAATTGTTTAAACAAGTTAAACAATTATAAGCTTGCTGAGTTATTATTATTATTATTATTATTAATATAAACATTAGAAAATTCTTCAAATGTTTGTCTGTCATTCTCTGATGAAGCTTTAATAAAAGTGAAACATTTTAGGTTGATATATGGATTTCCTATTTCTGCTTTATCTTATTCTGCTAATAGTAATAATAGTAGTAGTAGTAGTAATAATAATAGTAGTAGTAATAATAGTAGTAGTAGTAGTAGCAATAACAGTAGTAGTAGCAATAACAGTAGTAGTAATAATAATAATAATAGTAGTAGTAGTAGTAATAATAATAGTAGTAGTAATAATAGTAGTAGTAGTAATAATAGTAGTAGTAGCAATAACAGTAGTAGTAGTAATAATAGTAGTAGTAGCAATAACAGTAGTAGTAGTAATAATAATAGTAGTAGTAGTAATAATAATAGTAGTAGTAATAATAATAGTAGTAGTAGTAGCAATAACAGTAGTAGTAGTAATAATAATAATAGTAGTAGTAGTAATAATAGCAGTAGTAGTAGTAGCAATAACAGTAGTAGTAGTAATAATAATAGTAGTAGTAGTAGTAATAGTAGTAGTAGCAATAACAGTAGTAGTAGTAGTAATAATAATAGTAGTAGTAGTAGCAATAACAGTAGTAGTAGTAGTAGCAATAACAGTAGTAGTAGTAATAATAATAGTAGTAGTAGTAGTAGTAATAGTAGTAGTAGTAGCAATAACAGTAGTAGTAGTAATAATAATAATAGTAGTAGTAGTAATAATAGTAGTAGTAGTAGTAGCAATAACAGTAGTAGTAGTAATAATAATATTAGTATTAGTAGTAGTAATAATAGTAGTAGTAGTAATAATAATAATAATAATAAACGTAACTTTTCCAGTATTCTTCAACAGTTAAGAGAAGAACACGATTTAAGAAAAGAAAAAGAAAAGAAAAAACAGTATTTGACAATTTTAAATAATGTTTCGACAGAATATCTCTTCTGTATATTTTTTAAAAAATTTCAAGTATATAAATATTTATAAATCTACAAAATTTATATATTTTTATACTTTTGTCTTAACTAATAATAATAATAATAATAATAATAATAATAAACATATAAGTCGCCCAGATGTTTGCCCTACTAGGAACATCCCATATATACTGAGAAAAGTGCTATCAATTAAACGACAATTCTCTTATACGGCCTAAGGGGTCATAGCTTAGACCTCTACAGGATACGAAGCAGAAAACATAACAGACACAAATGATAATAATTTTAGAGAGCAAGAAAAGAATACTGAAGCCTGCTAAACATGGTGGAAAGACGGAAACCCGAAAAGAAATACTAAAATTTATATCATTAGTACGCAGGCCTAACATACGAACATCATGACCAGCAGCTTGTACCTAACGTTTATTCACTGTTCAGGCTATGTGAAGAAAAGTAAGAGAATGTCACGTAATTAATGGCTGTTGGCAAAGATAGAACACAAAAGACAATTTGACCGTGTTTGCCTTAAATTCTACTGGTTCTTGGGCTAAAAATATATCTTCAACGTGTCCG